GAACAAAGTTATGCTTATGTCCACAAGAAAAAAGTAGAAGAAATGTCATGCTATACATAGCACCAGTTGAGAAAATTGGATTAACTGCTCAGTTTTACCAATCCAAAAATTTACGGAAGTGTGACTATTGTAATAAGCCAAAACACACTAAAGAAACTTATTGGAAGTTACATGGAAAACCAACTAGAGGTCGAGAGAGAAGGAATAGTGGACCTACGAGAGCTCAAGAAAACTTAGTTGAGCCAAGTGAAAAACTTGATACACCAACAATTTGAGTCTTTTCAAATGAAGATATTCAAACTCTGAAGCGTATTCTATCTCAATTTAACTCTTCATCATTTCTACGTGCAACAAATTTAGTAAAAATGGAAACTTAAAAAAAAGAGGATGATTGGCACTGGTAAACTGCAGAATGGCACTTTAGAACTAAGTTTGCAAGTTGGACATGTGTAATATTCCTACACCAACTTGAGAGGGGGTGTTGAATAAGATACTTTATTATTATTTACTAGAATAAGCATTTTACTATAATAAAAATTTTATGTAATAAAAATTCTATCAAAATAAGTAATTTCCTTATTAGTAGTTAGGAGTTCTATGAATACAATAAATGTAATACCTTAAAAGGTGATAATAAAATTTTCCTAATTAGTGAGAGGATTTTTTAAAATAAATGGTAAATAAAATTAAAAAAATTTAATATGAACATTTTTAATTAATAAGAAGATCTTCCAAAGTAAATAGCATACGAAATTAAAGAGATTTTGTCAATCTTGGTGCTATATATTGTACATTAGGAAGTAAATACTTCTAATATAACAATTATAATTACTCAATTTTCAACAAAATGCTACAAATCTATCAGCCAAATCGAGATTTATTTCTAAACATTTACTATATGTTATAAAGATGGCGGAATGCACTCCCGTCTGTTCATTTATTGGGAGATAGCATGGAAGATATAGATTAACGTGTTTGCAATGTTTGGTATTTGTGGGGTTGCTCCTCCTATAAGGGATTGTCTAATGGGAACTAGTATTCAGGGGAAGGGAGCTTGTGAAAGAGGCCAAACCCATCTGGCAGGGGACCCATATTTGCAACCTTATGGATTATTTGGCTTGAGCACAATTGAAGAATTATTTATGATCATTACTCGTTATTTCAGGAAATGTGGAACATATCGACTTTTCTGGCTCCTTTTTGGACAAAATTGAGACGCAAAATATTTGTGCTCCCATTAAATGACACTTTATCTATATTTTTTTCTCCAGTGTCATCATGTGAGGAGGATGT